CTCTCTCTCTCCACCTTCGCCTGAACTCTTCCCTTGCTCCGTACCCCACCCAACCTCTGCCCTCCCTCCTTCCATCTGCCCTCCCTCCTTCCATCTGCCCTCCCTCCTTCCATCTGCCCTCCCCCGCCCGACTTCACCCTGCCGTCTTTTCCCTTCCTCCCGGCCTCCTTCCACCTCCTCCTCTTCGTCTTCACACTTTTTCCCATACTCGTCTCCCCCTTACTTCTTCGCTTCCTTCATACGTCACTCAACCTCTAAACTACCTTTTGCTTTCTGTCCTCCCTCGGCCCTACTCCCTGCCGCCTCCCTTTTCTCCCAGCCTCCTCTGGACCTCCTCTTAAAACCTCCCTCTGTCCTCCCTTCAACTGGCCACCTCACTCCCCTTCCTTCGCCCAATCTCCACCTGACCTCCTTCCCTCTATCTCCTCCGTCCTCTCCGCCCGATTTGCACTGACCTCCTTCCCACGATCTCCTTCCTCCCCTTCCTTCCTTGGCCCGATCTCCACCTGACCTCTTGCCTTACTCTCTGTCGCCTCTCCACTGCCTACTGGCCTCCTGCCCAACTTCTCTTCACCCCCCCTCATTCCCCTTCGTTCCCCCCCTTCGTTCGCCTTATCTATGTCTGACCTCCTCCTTCCCCCAATCTCCTTCCTCCCCTTCCTTCCTCAGCCAGATCACCACCTCACCCCCCCCTTCCATTCCTCCGTCCTACTCCCTCCCTCCCCCTTCCTCCCTCGACCGGTCGCCCTTCGTAACGCCCGACCTTAGAAGTGCTGCTTTTTCTTTATCCGGTGGACGTAAACGCTCCATTTGTTATCAAGGTCGCTCCATTTCTTTTAAGATCTTAACATGGTTGCACACGTGCAAGAAGGAGAGAGGGAAAGCAGGAGAGAAAAAACGCATTTCACCTAACACACTTCCTCCTCTCTCTCTTCCTTCCTCGCACTTTGTCTGTCTCCTCTGCCACAAAACGTGCATCTTCTGCCTCCTCAACATTCTCCTTCGGTCTTTTGTCCTTGGAGCGACCTTATGATTAGGTCTTTCAGGCTATCGATATTTCTTTCCATATTTCACTCTCTTCCTCCCCAGTCCCACCACACTGAGTCAGCTCTCTCTCTCTCTCTC